GGGGGCAGAGCCCCCGCGGTACGGTACGGGGTATTTAAGTAAATTTATACCTTGTAGGGTTTAAGTATAAATACATGGTGTATTGATGTATTTGAGACTATTGAGAATAATAAAAATCCCTCAGCTGCTGTGGACGTAGGGATATTGCCGAACCACGTAAATCTTGTGTTGTTTACTTTCTCGTTTTTAATTCGTATGCCATATTGTCATCTTCTCTCAATAAGTGGTATCAGAGCCTGGTTGATTGGGCGACGGAGATGACGGGAGGATCGAAATTCGAGGTCTCGAAATTTGATGGTCATGGCAATTTCAGATTATGGCAGACGAGAGTAAAAGATTTATTGGCGCAACAAGGAATTCAGAAAGGGCTGTGCGCAGAAAAGCCAAAGGGGATGGAAGACGATGATTGGCAAGATCTGCAGGAACGGGCGGCCGGGACGATTTGGTTGTGCCTTGCAGATGAAGTTATGTATCACGTTATGCATCTCAAGTTGGCGAATGAGATTCGGAAGAAACTGGAATCGCAGTTTATGTCGAAAACCCTAACGACAAAACTGTATCTGAAGCAGAGGTTATACGGGCTGAAGATGCAGGAGGGGACCAATTTAGGGCAACATGTGAATATCTTCAATCAGGTTGTCACGGATTTGGCTTCACTCGCAGTCAAGATTGAAGATGAAGACAAGGCGATGATTTTACTGTGTCCGTTACCTCCTTCTTACAAACATATGGGGACTACCCTTACATATGGGAAAGAAACGATCAAGACTGAGGAGATTACTTCAGCGTTGTTGGCTCACAACCAGCGGAAACATAAATCTGGAGAGTCATCTTCTCAAAGTGACAGCTTATATGTGAAGGGTAACCAGGATCGTGGAAGAAGACAGGGGCGAGATAATTCAAGAAATCGGAATTTCAGATCCAAGTCGCGAGACAAATCACAAGGGAGGAAAACTGTGACGTGTTATAAGTGCAAGGAACAAGGGCACTTCAAACGGGATTGCCCAAAGTGGAAGAAACAGATTGTTGATATGTCATCCAAGTCTGCGAATGTGGTACAGAATGAGGAATCCGATTGCAGTGATGGACATATGTTATCTATTTCGACTGCGTAGTATGATGATGATTGGATTCTCGATTCTGGATGTTCATATAATATAACGCCTAACAGAGAGTGGTTTGCTACTTATAAACCAGGTAACTCGGGTTCTGTTTTTCTTGGTGATGATAGATGCTGCGGTATTGTCGGTATTGGGCATGTCACAAGATGTATAATGGAACTATTAGGACATTATGTGATGTGAGACATATCCCTGAGTTGAAGAAGAATTTGATTTCTTTGGGTACTTTGCATAGAAATGGTTTCATTCTCAAGGCTGATGAGGATAGAGAAACCATTAAGATTGTGAAGGGTGCTTTGACTGTGATGAAGGGGAGGATCACTGCATGGAACATTTACAAACTGTTGGGAAGTACAGTTGTAGGTGGAGTCCATTCGGTGGAGTCGTGTGAAGATAGCACGAAATTGTGGCACATGCGTCTTGGACATCTTAGTGAACATGGCATGACTGAACTGCATAAGAGGGGGCTTCTGCATGGTGTTAAAACTTGCAAACTCAATTTCTGCAAGTTTTGTGTTGTGGGAAAGCAGACAAAAGTCAGTTTCAAGACTGGGAAGAAGAAGACAAAAGAAATTTTTGATTATGTACATTCAGATGTGTGGGGTCCTGCTAGAGTGACATCGATGGGTGGTGCTGTGTACTATGTGACCTTTATTGATGATTTTTCGAAGTAAGTTTGGGTGTATTTTATGAAGCATAAATCTGAAATTTTTGCTAAATTCAAGCTATGGAAGGCTGAGGTAGAGAACCAGACTGGTAGGAAGATCAAGAACTTAAGGTCTGATAATGGTACAGAGTACACCGATTCACAGCTCCAGAAGTTCTGTGAGGAGCATGGGATTCAAAAGCATTTTACAGTGCGTAAAACATCACAGCAGAATGGTGTTTCTGAGAGGATGAATCGGACACTGGCTGAGAGGGCGTGGTGTTTAAGACTGAATGCGGGTTTGCCAAAGAGTTTCTGGGCTGAGGCTGTAAGTATGGCTTGTTATTTGATTAACCGATCACCATGTGCATCTCTGGACGGCAAAGTTGCAGAAGAAGTATGGACAGGTAATGATGTTAGTTTTGATCATCTAAAGATTTTTGGTTGTCCTGCTTATGTTCATATTCCTGCTGATGAGATGTCAAAACTTGATGCTAAATCAAAGAAGTGCACTTTTATGGGCTATAAGAAAGGTGTGAAGGGATACAAGTTTTGGGATCCAGTTGAGAAGAAGACGGTGATTAGTAGAGATGCAGTGTTTGATGAACAGTCTATGTTGGGATCAGATGCAGATAAGGTACAGGTGGAGTTGGAACATGTTCCAGCAGTTCTTGATAAGGGAGAGAGTTCGAGTTCTGCACTTGATGATGTTGATCATGATGTTTCTGACACAACTGATGTGTCAGATAGCAACAAGTTAGCTCGAGATAGAGTGAGGCGTACCAATATACAAGCTCCAGTCAGGTTTGGTTATGATGATATGGTGTCATTTGCTCTTACGATCACTAGTTTGGATCCTTGTACTTTCCAAAAGGCTATTTCTTGTGAGAACAGTGATAGATGGAAGGCTGCCATGGAAGAAGAGATGAATTCTGTACATAAGAATCAAACATGGGAGTTGGATGTTCTTCCCAAAGGGAAGAAAGCTATTGGTTGTAGGTGGATTTACACAAGGAAGTCATCGGTAACAGAAAAAGAAGGGAAAGGTTCAAGGCTCGATTGGTGGCTAAAGGATACTCACAGCAAAAGGGGATTGACTATGATGAGACATTTTCCCCTGTGGTTAGACATACTTCGATTAGGGCTGTACTTGCATTTGTGGCTAGTTGGGATTTGCATTTAGAGCAGATAGATGTGAAGACTGCTTTCTTGCATGGTGATCTCGCAGAGCCTATTTACATGCAACAGCCAGACGGTTTCGTTCAACCAGGGAAGAAGCATTTATTTTGCAGGTTGAATAAATCCTTGTATGGCTTGAAGCAAGCATCGCGGCAGTGGAATATACTGTTTGATTCGTATATGCTGAAGATTGGCTACAAGCGTTGTGAGTTCGATTGTTGTGTTTACACTAAGAGCCTTGGTGATGGTTCTATTATTTTTCTGTTACTTTATGGTGATGACATGTTTATTGCTGCTAAGAATATGCGTGATATTGTTGATCTGAAAAGCCTTTTGAGTCAGGAATTTGAGATGAAGGATTTGGGGGCTGCAAAGAAGATTCTTGGGATAGAGATTCACAGGGATAGAGGATCAAAAAAGCTGTGGTTATCTCAGAAGGGTTATGTGGAGAAGGTGCTACAGAGGTTTGGGATGAATGAAGCAAAACCGGTGGACACTCCATTAGCAAACCAGTTCAAGCTTTTTGTTGATATGTGCCCCAAGTCGGACAAGGAGATTCAGGATATGGTGGAGATACCTTATGCCAGTGCTGTTGGATGTCAGATGTATGCCATGGTATGTACTCGTCCTGATTTAGCTCATGTTGTTGGTCAAGTTTGCAAGTATATTTCTAGGCCGGGTAAACAGCATTGGGAGGCAGTCAAATGGATTTTCAGATATTTGAAAAGTACTTCGGGACATGGTATTGTGTTTGGAGATCAGCGGTTGGATCCTTTGGTTGTAGGATATGTGGATTCTGATTATGCTGGGGACTTGGATAATAGGAGATCTACCACTGGGTATGTCTTCACTTTTGGTGGAGGCCCTATTTGTTGGAGGTCGAATACTCAGCCTATAGTTGCTCTATCTACAACTGAAGCTGAGTATATTGCTTTGGCTGAAGCGGCAAAGGAAGCAGTGTGGCTTGCTGGATTGGTTAGAGAGTTGGGTATTCAGCAAGGTGGAGTTCTAGTACATTGTGACAGTCAGAGTGCTATTCATTTGGCTAAGAATCAAATAAATCATGCTAGGACGAAACATATTGATGCGAGGTTCCACAAGATTAGGGAATGGATTGCTTCTGGTGATATTCAGTTGGAGAAAGTTCATACTGAAGAGAATGCTGCTGATATGTTGACAAAGATTGTTACTTCTGACAAATTCAAGCATTGCTTGGATTTGTTGAATGTTTCTGCATGCTAGAGTTGCATGGTACCCCCCCGGCCTGCTTGGTGTGTCGCAGAGGTGCTCGCTATTGTTTTCTCCTAAGGAGGTGATATATTCGCCAAGGTGCAAATTTGTTGGTATGGTTCATATATTGACAAAGGAAGGAGCCTGGTATGGTTCATATATTGACAAAGGAAGGAGGCAGGCTGACGCCTGCGAGCGTAGTGGAGCGAGCGTAGCGACCGAGCGAAGCGAGCGGAACGGAGAGCGGTACGGTACGGGGTATTTAAGTAAATTTATACCTTGTAAGGTTTTAGTATAAATACATGGTGTATTGATGTATTTGAGACTATTGAGAATAATAAAAATCCCTCATCCGCCGTGGACGTAGGCATATTGCCGAACCACGTAAATCTTGTGTTGTTTACTTTCTCGTTTTTAATTCGTATGTCATATTATCATCTTCTCTCAATAAAATAAAATAAAATTTTATGTTTATAATTTAAGTTAACCAAGTGTTTTATAATTTTAAAAGTCCTAACAAACATGGATAAAAGTGCAGACCTATATGAACTATCCCGAAACATTAGAAATTGACAAATATGATTGCGAAGCACCAGAAGTTGACACTTAGGCTCCCAACTCTCTGCATTTATATAGGAGGCAAGATCTTGGTTTGAGGAGTATGAAGATGTTTTCTGATTAAGGGAAGATCAAGATCTTCTAAAATGTTACGAAAGGATTATCATCCATATATTTTTGCACAAACAAACAACTAGAATAGCCAAAAAAAAAAAACGAAAAAAAAAAGAAAAAAAAAACGCCTACAGTTTTAATTTGCTCACTAGCCATTGAAATGCGCCCAGGTTAAACACGTATTTTGAATGTGTTTACTTTCAGTCTTAAGATCTTAAAATGCAGCTGTTGCTTTCATCTGACGCAAAGAAGGATCATAATGGAAAGCCAGTTTAAAATCAGCTAAATAGACACTTTGGTTCATGAACAACTATTATATATCATTTGCCTTAAGATTTCTTTCATAGGATGAGTCTTTTATGTAATAATAATCATATACAACTAGGTACGTACTCCCAGCCTTGCGATTGAGAGATGATAATTTATGACACTTTCAGTCATATAACCATTCTACTATTTCCCTGGCTATCGAGAAACTTGTATCTTAAGCCTTAATATATAAAACACAAAAAATGGAACAAATCGAGTTACATTAGATATAGGGATGTTAAGAGGTTGGAAATTATAGGTTGACGAGAAAGAAGCAAGAGAATAATGCTCTATAACCAAATAATGACATCTGCAAATAAGCTGTTAAAATATCAATAAACGCAGTGTGGTTTGCAGCACAACAATGAATAAACTTAAAAATAGGGGAAAAAGGCCACTGCTTATTTCATATTTGTTCTATTTACCGCGGATAGGATACGGGTAGTGTCCTAATTTACATAAACCCATATTAGCTGCTCATTAATTAGTCACTTGGAGAACGTAACACCTGTTTCATGGCTCCCCAATCTGTCCTAATGAAAGAATATTCGCAACAGCAATGACGAATTTCCACTATCTAAAAGTATCAGCTATAAAAAATATGACAGCGCTGTTAAATTAAGCATTCCGCCTCTCTTATAAGGCTCCAAAAAGGCTAAGGCATGAATAATATACAGTCACATCCTCCAACATTGGAACATCAAATAGTGAGTTCTAACATAGCATATGATAGCAAAACATGAATACAAAAAACCTAAATTGCCGAGCAATCAAGTCATGGACAAGAGATACATATTGGCTTATGACTGCCAGTATTTGTAAACAGAATACAGATACACACACAAGCACTCAATATGAACAAAGCAAAGAGAAAGGGAAATCATAAAGCCACATCTTATTGAGCAGTAGAAAGCACAAGATTAAGCAAAACACGTACATAAATAGTTTGCGAGACATAATCAAAATATATAAATAATCAAATAAAAATCATTCACAGACAAAAAAAAAGTAACCACAAACTCACCAAGCATTCCCGAATCATCCGAGTCAGTGCCCTGAAGGCTGTAGATCCTAACACAACCATCGGCATCTGCCTGAGCAAGCAAGGGCCAGGCCGGGCCGTGCATGTGGGCCCGGCTCCACTTTATATCAAATATTCCAGCCGTTTCTACTTTCTGAATCATTTCGAGCCGGCCACTATCAGCATCAACATCAAAGAGCGTTATAGAGCCCGACCGACTGGGGCAATCCCCTTCCTGAAGCACGTAAGTGGAGCCGGCTAGCACATTCTGGAACGATTCGTGGGGACAAAATTCCACAGCATCCGCATTTCCATCTAAGATGGTATGGCCCACGTCCATTCTTTAATTACCTGTAAGAGGAAAAAAAAAAACAAGAGCGTGTGACCGCGCAAGAAATTTGAAATGAACATACAAGTCCATTCACCACTCGCTGGGCCATTTTATCAAACAGTATGTGGGCAGGACACAAATTGAATGGTGCTCAAAATTAGAGAATTCTTGTTCTCATCTGCTGCTAGCTCTAGTGCGTTCTAATTTTATGTGCTAGGCGACGGGCCACTGAAAATGTAGTTGAGACATGGAAAATAATGCTTCCATGGAAATTTTTTATCAGTTCAAGAATTTAGATGAATACCTTATATAACTGCATTGACAGAAAACAGAGCTGAAACAAATATTTAAAAGCCACTCAGATTGTTTGATATGCGCACATACTGAATGTCTTTGCACTATTAACCGATAAATCATTGCTAACATGATATTACTAAAGAAAAACTTACCGTTGAGTTCGTTGAGAGTCCGGAAAAATGAAGAAAATGGGTAATCGGAATTTGAGATTGAGTAAAACCCAAAATGTTATTAATATTGACTTTATAAATATAAGGCTTAAAGAGACAGATACGTTCAATATACCAGAGACAAACTTTTATCCCATAACTACTACGTATCCCGTGCGATGCACGGACTGTATTTATTTTGGTAAAATTTATATATTAAGGCTATTAATCAATAAATTATAATACATAGAACATTTGTTAGGTAATCGTAAAATGATCATCATGAAAAAATCATACATTATTAAAAAGCTCTTTATTTTTCCATGCAAAATTATTTTTCACTTGGTAACCGTAAATCGATATATTTACCAAAATTGCACTCCACTTAGTAATTGTGAATTGCTTAAATACCTCATTCCTTTATTTTTTTTTGTTGATTTTCGAAATGTTACCACCATGAAATAAAACTATAGTGAAAATATTTAATATTGTGATAGATACTAAATATATGATTATCTGGTGAAGTTTAATTTTATATCGAGTATAAGGAAAATTGTTACCTTAAAGATATTGATACCTTAATTTTATATATATATATATATATTTGTCAATCATTCTCATTTTTGTGGCAAATTCATTCCAAGAATTGAGAACGGTTTTGTTTTGTTATGTTTTATCAGAGATTTAGAATTTTGGTCGTATTTTTTGTAAAACATATTTATAAAAATAATTACGTTTAAAAAAACAACAACAATATTTTATCATTTGTAGATAAAAAATAACTAAATGAATCGGAGGACATGTAAATCACGGTTTTTAAATGAAAAATATGTTTCATAAAAAAAGTTATAAGAAAATGATTCAAAATGATAAAAAGAAAATCATATATTATAACAAAAGGATGTTTGCATGAGTAGTGGATTAGTGAATCGAAAATTGTGGCAATTTTAAAAAACATGTTACCATGATTGAAATGAAATCTTTAGAATATTTTTTACTTTTAGTTAAGTTGCATATATTGCATAACTATATATGAAAAAACTTAAATATTTAAAGTTCAAATAGTCGATTTATTTATATGTATATAATAAAGTGTACAATTCGAATAACTAAATTTTATTTAGCATTTATATTGTTAATATTGATATCGTGATTATTGTAATGTCCAACTCTCATTTTTACGGTAATTTTATATTATATTAAAATGAATTGATAAGTCTAAAAAGAGATATGGATTGAATTAAAAAGATTGAATCGTGGTTAAATATCTTGATATCATAATTATACTGTTTTTAAAAAAGATATTCCATAACATTTGGTTCCATAATAATACTACATTTAAATATAATTGATTCCAAATAACCGATTTTAGTGTTTAATCAAATATTATGGGATATCTTTTTTAAAATATCTAATTATTAATTTATTTTTTGTTTCTTATTTATATTTTATTTTATTTTTGCCAATTGACAATAACATGTTTGATCACATTGTGTACGCAGATAATTTTTTAGATATAAAGATGTGAACTTAACAAATATCTTATGTGGTTCACAATCCATATGAACAATTGACATTTGTAAAAATTTATGTGATAACAACATTTATGCATTTAAATGCTCTTATTTTGTTTTAAATAATTTCAAACATACTTCTAATCATTCCAAATGAAATTCATACTACTTAAATTCGAACATTTCGTACCAAAAATAAATCGCCCACTTTATACCACAAAATCAGACATTTATTATTAACAACACATTTTCTATTAAAAAATAAAAATGGCTATCAGATACTTAAATAAAATTATCAACTTTATACCAAAATTGGATTTATTAATTTTGTCAACTTTATACCATAAATTAATTAATTATTTTCTAAAAGTCATTTCTACATTTTGTCCAAAATCTTTTTTAGCGGCACATAAATGTTATTTATATTTTTGTATTTAGTTATCTTGTCTACGAAGAAAAAGATAATTATGGAACTCTACTATGCCAACCAAAAGATGTATGAAAAATAACATAAGTATTAATTTATTATGTTTTACTCAATATAGGAAATATAATATAAATATAAAGATTAACGATTAATTCTCTATAATTACTCAATCAAGTCTATATATTTAAATTAAAGATTTCGAAAGTTTCTATAATACCCCCATATTTGTTTCCATAAAACTAAATCATCCTAAATTTAAATTCAACTAATAAAGGTAATAACCATAAATATCTGAGTAAAAAGATTATGTACATTAATTACATTGATTTTTGTTAATTTACTATTTTTAGACAATAATTAATGAAATTGGCAGGAAAGTGTTTCTAAAAGTGAATTAAGTTAATCCTTATTATATATTAATAGATTGTGTTGTAATTAACAACTAGTATAACACTCGTGTATTACACGGGTGCTTACTAATTTTTTTTCTTAAAGTCTAAAATTAATGAAAAAAAAGTAGTTGAAAATTTAAATACCTTTTACAAAAATATATATATTATTATATATTTAGTATAACACTTTTTATTTGTGTGACCTACCTGCGTTATATTATAATAATTTTTAACTTACAACATATAACTACATTAAATATAAATATATCAATTGATAAATAATTTTATTTTTCTAATAAATTTTAATAAATATTATTATTTACTATTATTATAAAGATAAATATAATTTATTTATTTCATATATACAATATGGATGTCAAATCGAAAATCATCAAAAGATGATTAATTTGATATATAATATATGTAAACATCAACATCAACATACCCAGTATATTCCCAAACAGGTTGGGGTCTGAGGGGTCAGTTGCACGCAGACTTTACCCTTGTAATTATACAAGGAGGCTGTTTCCATAGCGACCCAAGGTGCGTTGCGTCGTTTGATATATTTTTCTAGAAACTTCACTAATAGAAGAAGCACTAGAATTTAATTAAGTCATTTTGATGTAGTCCATTATTTGCACGATGCCAGGAGAATTGTCAACATTGACTCTTCCAGCTCCATTTGCAATGGACTCATATAATATATGTAAAACCGATAAGAAATACATAAGTTATTTAAAATACATTTACAATTCAATAACTAATTGAAGGAAACAAATCAAAGTCAGAGATATATTAGTCACTTAGTGCCTCATTATGTAAAATTACAAATAATTAAAGGGTTATATTATTACAAGTGATATTAAAATACCTAAGTTAGATAAATAATATTTATGGAATGTCCGAACCTAGATTATTAATTATTAATATATCAATATTATTTGTCCAAACCTAATTACGAAGCATGATTCTTCGCCAAGTAGGATTCCGAAGCACCAGAAGTAGCCACGTAGGCTCAACGCAGTCGGGAATATATAGGGAGGGTTCATCTACAAAATCGCGAAGGGTGCATAAAAATAGAAAAAAAAGAAAATTATTGCTGCAATTGTATTCATAGAATAATTCTACTATTTTATATTTATCATCATTTTCTTCTATAAATTCTTTTAAATTATTTTTTGTTTATCTTAAGTTTATTATATTATTTTTAGTTTATCTTCAGTTTATTATATTCTACGCGGATCCATGTTAAGAAAATTATATTATAAATTAAATAATAAGAATATTTTTTTACAAAATATATTATTATTTATATTTAAAATAGCATTGTTACTTACACTATTTACCATCTTATATTATATATATTTTTTAACTTATATTAGATAAATACTTTGTAACTAAGTTAGTTTAAATAGTTTTATTTTTTTAATTAATATTAATCATTAATTTAATTTTTATTATAAAGATAAATAAAATTATTTATTATTCTGTACATAAAATATAGATGCCACAACAGAATATAGACGTCACAACAGAATGTATTCCTTAATTACATTCTTAGTTAAATAGTTTGATAATAAA